CCTGGGGCTTTGTCACTGCCTCACCCTGGAGAGTCTGCTATGGCAGCAAATACCCAGGAAGACTCGCCCCGTGACCTTCCTCCCAACTAAATAAAGCACTTAGGATTTTGCACTGGCATTTGGATGAACACGCTGGCATCGAGGGGGACCACACATGCTCTGAGGGGAGCGTTTGACCCGGCTTGTTTATAAAGTGGACCAACCAGTTGTAATTGTGCCCTACAAAGGTCGCCAGCTTGTGGGAGTAGGACTGACGTTGAAGTGGAAGTTCCAGTGGAACGTGCAGTTTTCCCCGATGGGTCTTTAGGCCCCATTCTGCTGCCTGCATTTGCTGAAATTCCTAAAGAAGAGAGGATGGGCCTGGAGGGGCTCAATCGGCACCACCTCCTGCACGCTGAGGCTCACCTCACCTCCCACCATCAGACCTCAACGTCGATTCGCTGCCAGCTGCACCTCACAGGGTTGCCCGCAGCTCTGGTCTTTGTGGAATCATGTTTGTCACATCTTTAGTGATAATTAAACTGATATTTGCTGATTCATTATTTCATTTAATTTGCATAACATCGGTATGAGATGGGAGGACTGTTATCACCCCTATTTTACAGATGATGAGGCCCCCAGAGAGGTTAAGTAACTTGCCCAAGGTCACACAGCTATCCAGGTGCAGAGCTGAGGTTTGAGCCCAGGTGGGCCTCACTGTTAACTAGCACCCCATGCCTTGGCACTTCCACAGGACTTGTATAATCAAGAACTTGTATAATCAAGAACTTGTATAATCTAGAACTTGTATATATCAACTTGTATAATCAAGAACTTGTATAATCAAGTTCTTATCTTTTGCTGCTTCCAGGCTTAAGTCAAGACAGCCCCTCTCTCCTTCACTGTTTCTTCCCGCCTTCTTATTCAGTCCTGCTGTTTGTGCTTCTACACAGCATTCCTCCTGGACACCACCCGCCAGAACTCATGGTGCTGTTTGGGTGAGGTTTCCGTGAGCAGGAGAAGGAAGGTCTCAGGGACCCCCTTTCCTTAGCTCCCTCCGCTGTGAATCCCCACGCAGGGCACCTGTGACCCTGCAGCTTGCCCCCTGGGGAGCCCAGGGCTGCAGTCTTTCAGCAGCACAGCCGGGGGCACCTCTGCTCACTCACCCGATGGGCCAAATCCAGGGCGGCAAGGAGCCTTCCGGCCTCTCCAGGCAAGGACCCGCTCAGGCTACCAATGGGAACATCAGCTCTTTCTACGGCAGCCCCATCTCCCAACCCTGGAGTTAGTCCCAAAAAGCTGATTTCGCTGGTTATTCAGACGATCCGTCCTCCTTTGCTCTCCCCTACCTTCTTACTAGCCTGGCCACAGCTTGCTGAGAAAAACACTTGAGAGGCTTTTGCTCTCCACACCCACACACTTAAAATACCAGGCCCATAGGTCATTTTGATGACGGAATCTGGTTAATAACACGCATGCTCTAGGTGCAGCTACCACTGCTGCAGGTGCTGGCTAAGAAGGGCTGCATCTCGGCAGGGACAAGCCGGGGCGTGGTGGGGGCGTGGTGGGGGCGTGGTGGGGGCGTAGCCAGGGCGGAGGGAAGAGGACAGAGGGCATCGTTCCGAGGGTTCAGTGTGCCCACTGGGTGGCTGTCCCCAGGTGTCAAGTCTGGTGCCAGGTCTGCTCGGAAGAATACAAGGAAGCAGATGGCAGAGTTCTCCTGAAGTGGAAAAATGTCACACACACCTATGAGCAAAATGACATCTCTTATTGCCTCTGTCTATGAGGTCATAAGCAGATGTCCTGGTGCTCAAGGCTGTAAACAATAGTCCGTTGTGCAGGACGCGAACCGGAATACCCCACCTTCGTGAGCCACAGTTACTGTGGCCAAAATGCCCCACCTAGTAGCTTTTACTGAACAGACACTTCTTGACTGCACGTAAAATGATGGGCATAAAATAGTAGAATTATAACTACTAGCAACGATTTCACAAATATTCACTTTGGTTGAATTTCCTTCCCGATTCAGTAGGCCAGTCTGTGGTTAACCAGGGTAAGCGCCAGGAGCCCAAATTCAGCTCAGTTAGAAACTGCCTTTGAACTATAACCCAGGCTTTCAATTAGCTGTTGAGCACAGTTTGGGTACATTGGTGTCACCAGGACTGTTTTCGCTTTTGGGGGCAGGGGCAGAGCATGGAAAAGGTACCACGAGTCTGGATTACTGGTGCTGGTACCACTGAGTTTGAAGGTAGAGATTTAGGACCTCATGACAATAATGTGAAGCACAAAGCTGGAAATCTGGGTTTTCCATGTATCCAAGCTGTGTGACTTTGGACAAACCACTCACCCTTTCTGAGCCTTAGCTTTGCTACCTATTAACCAAGGACAATAAAATCTGTCTTGTTTATTTCATGAGAGTGTTGTGAGAACCAAATAAAATAGTATATGGGAAAGTGCTTGAAAACTTGTAAGTGTTACACAGACCTGAAAAGGCCAACATTAGGAAGACAGTGATTCTTTGTTGTCATTTAGGAAATCAAGAGTAGGGTGGTTGTAAACTTATGGTTACCAAAGGGGAAAGGGACAGGGAGGGACAAATTAAGAGTTTGGGATTCACAGATACATACTACTATACATAAAATAGATAAACAACAAGGACCTACTGTATAGCACAGGGAACTATATTCAATATCCTGTAATAACCTATCATGGATAAGAATCTGAAAAAGAATATATATGAAAAAGTATATATATATATGTAACTGATCACTTTTCTGTACACCTGAAACTAACGCAACATTGTAAATCAACTATACTCTAATAAAAAGTTTTTAAAAATTAAGAAAACAAGAATAGGATGGTTGTAGGAGGGCCGCCACAGGAGTGGGACTGTCCTGGGGGTAAAACCCACAGGTACATAGAGAGTAGTTGTCACTTGTAGTGCCAAGACTGGAACTCTATGACATTTGGTGTCTGGACTGAGTTGAATAGCATTCCCTAAAAAGTCATGTCCGTGGGTGACCTCAGAATGTGACCTTATTTAGAAATAGGGGCTTTGCAGATGTAATCAAGTTAAGATAAAGTCATACTAGAGTAGGGTAAGCCCTAAATCCAATGACTGGTGTCCTTGTAAGGAGAGGGAGACTTGGAGACAGAGGACAGAGAGGGAGGGAGGCCACATGAGGAAGGAGGCTGAGAGTGAAGTGATGCTGCCACAAGCCAAAGAATGCCAGGGATTGCTGGGAACCGCCAGAAGCCAGACAAGGCCGGGACGGATTCTTCCCCAGAGGGAGTACGGCCCTGTCGACACCGCAATTGCGTCAACACCTCAGCTTATTGTCTCCTAGCGCTGGACACCGGAACTAGGAGACAGTAAATTTCAGTTGTTTTAAGCCACCCAGTTTGTGGTAATTTGTTACAGCAGCCCTAGGAAGGAAATATAGTGTTTTCATGGAATCTCTGAAATGCTGAAGTTGCAGGCAGCCGGGGAAACACCCCTGGCACAGGCACACGCCTACACACGGAGATGGGCACTGGGATTTCATATAGAAGATAAAACCAGGGACTTCCCTGGTGGTCCCGTGGTTAAGACTTCGCCTTCCAATGCAGGGGGTGCGGGTTCCATCCCTGGTCAGGGAGCTAAGATCCCACATGCCTTGGGGCCAAAAAACCAAAACATAAAACAGAAGCACTATTGTAACAAATTCAGTAAAGACTTTAAAAATGGTCCACGTCAAAAAAAAAAAATCTTAAAAAGATAAAGGAAGATAAAATCAGAGTTAAAGGTGACGTTGTATGTATCCCATGAACGCCTTCATTTTGCAAACCAGGAAACTGAGATCTGGAGAGGTCAAATATTTGTACAGGAACCTAAATCTTCTAACTCTCTTGCAGGAAGAGCTGTGCCTCTCTCTCTCTCTCTCTCTTTCTCTCTCTCTCTCTCTCTCCTCCTCCTCCCCCATACACACACACACACACATACACACACACACCTTTGAATACCATGTGCCAGATGCTATTTTAATGATTTTACTCATATTAATTCATTTAACCTCTCCCCAAATTCGATAAGGTAGGAGAAGTTATATGTGCCCATCTTCCATGTAAGGACACTGAGGCACAGGGAGGGCTAGTGACTTGTCAAAGGTCAGCTAGCCAGAATTCAAAACCAGAGGGCATTCTCTGAACTGCTTAGCAAAGAAGAAATTCTTTTAAGTAACTAATGTATTTATATATTAATACTTTTATTATAAATTATATATTTCAAAACAATTTTTAAAAATTATTAAAAGCATTGCATTCGACCTATGCAATGAAGACATGCTTGCATTTCTTAAGTATGTATAAAATGCTTAGATGGAAATCCATCTGCGCATTTACGCTAACAGTTGTCATTGAATCTCAATCTGTCAGCTACATATCCTTAAATCCATTTATTGAATATAAATTTTGTCTGGCCAACCCCATGAGTGCCTATAATAACATCTGGCCTTTCAAAACAATATTTAGAATCAACCAGCAAATAGTTTTTTTAACATAGAGAGAATCGCTCCAATTTAGCCTAGCCTCAAACTTAGGAATTCTATCTTTCCTAATCCTGGGAGGTACAAACAAGTTTAGAGGGCAAAGAGAGAAATGGTTTCTTTTCCTCCTTTTGCTCTGAGCTTATTAAAAGGGAGGACCTGGGGGCAAGGAGTGGACAGCTGTCAATCTGCCTCTATGTCCCTGGGGTCCCGACCTGAAAGAAAACACATCTGAATCTCTCTTGATCCTGTGTTATTCATGACTAAACAAAAGCCACGTGACTAAGGGAAGTGTCACATCTAGACAACGTAGGTGTACATTCCAAAATTTAAGCAAAGCCAAACTCAAAGGAGTATTGGAAAAACCAGTAATGTGTGCTGAAGTCCTGCCACCTTTCCAGCGTGAGGGCTGGAAATCATAAATTAATTTTGAATTGCCCAGCAGATATATTCCGGCCATTGCCTCATTCTTCGTTGCCCTCTTTTGTGTTCCAACAGGAAAGAGCTTCACTCTGACCATCACCGTCTTCACAAACCCACCACAAGTCGCCACCTACCACAGAGCCATCAAAATCACGGTGGATGGACCCCGAGAACCTCGAAGTAAGTGGGCCGCCCCTCGGGGCTGGCACCTCCCCTCCCAGCTGGTACACTCAGGCACCAGAACCCTTGTGTTCCATCAGCATCACTCAGATGTGGCTAAAACTTCTGCCACAGGGAAATGTCAGACCCCTGCAGGGAGGGAGAATTTTCCTTTTGACACTCTCACTCCTCAAAGTTGTCTCTGAGCGCTGGGCTCTTTTTTTGGAGCATCTTCTTGGAGGGCAAAAGGAAATCAGGCTGACTCAAGTGCATGTCAGAATCATTTCAGGACTGCATGGGCCTAAGGACCGAATACGTGGTAAAGTTCAAGGAAGATTGGCCAGGGGCAGAGGTGGTCAAAAGAGGCCAGAGGGTCAGAGTGGACCACAAGGGACTGATCACCGTCCATGCTGGCCTTTTATTCACTTGGAGGCTGGAGATGAAATCTATGAAAATGACCCTTTCCTTTTTGTGCCACAGATCAAAATCTTATTACAGGATTGTTTAAAATAGAGACTGGGAGGGGAGAAGAGTGCCTGAGAGAAAACCAGTAAATATAGAAAGAGGGTACAAAAAAAATAGTTCCTGTGAGGAAAGCTTTTTTATAAAAGGAGTGGGGTTGTTTAGTCTGCAGAAAAATGTCTTCACGGTGACTTAATGACTATCTTTGAGTAAACACACAGTAACACTTTTCCAGAACCACACCCTTCCCTGGGATGGAGGCTGGGTTCCAGTTCCAGATCTGTGGAGCTGACTGGAGCTCCCACCCAGCATCTGCATGCCTCCTAACCATGTCATACCCCCAGTGGAAAATTAATATTCTCTATTAATTTTTATAAAAGGTGGGGTTGAGGGTGTCAGAAACAGGGCTTCCTACCGTGCCAGCAAGTTGAGATGCAGGGATGACAGGTCATAAAATGAAGTGGTTAAGAATTTGGGTTCTGGGGCAAACAAGTGGAGTTCCGGTTGAGGCTCTTAAGCCTTCAGGAAGTTATGGAGCCTTTCTGAACCTCAGTTTCCTCATCTGTAAAATGGGGATAATAATGGGAGCTTCTCTGTCAGCTTGAATGATACAATGCTGTATGTGCCCGGCACAGAGAATGAACTCAGGAAATGCCAGCAGAGCCTCCCTGCCTGCATCTCTGGCTGCTGCTCTGCACCCCCTACCCCAGGACCATTCCTCCAGAGGACCTGCCTGGTGCCTCTGGGGGCTCTAAGGTCACCCCTGGGGCGTGGCTCTCTGCAGGTCATCTTGTGAGCACCGCAGCTCATGGCAGTCTTTCCTACAGTCCTGGCCACAGTCTCATGGCATCTTGATCACCCGCTAGAACCATCCTGGGTGCTGCCTCAACCTTCCCCATACCCCAGAGTGGGCAGAACCCAGCAGAGAACCACCACATCCACCAGGGACACCCCCCCCTGCCCCGCAGGACATGGTGTCCGTTCACCATCTCCTTGGTGCCATTTGCCTGCTCCGTGACTCTCGTTATTTCTGACCTCATTTCCCCCGGGCAGATTTTTCTCTTTAAGCGCCTGGAGATGTTCTGGCCATATCCGGACTCAGGAAACTCTGGGACTTGGTAGCATCCCCTGATTCCAATTTCTGTGTGAAAAGCAAACCACAGGCTCAGAAACACACAGTTCCAACCAAACCCAACTTGGGAGGTTTCCAAAGTAGGAATGGCAAATTGAAGACTCCTAGTGACCCTGCATTAAACATAACAGACACACCACACAGGTACCTTGGTGCTTGCAGAGGACCAAAGAGGAAGCGGGCTCAGATTACAGCAGGCATGGGGTTGGGGAGCCGGCAGTTGTGAGGTGTAAGGCAATTGACCTTGAGGGTAATTAAACTTCCAGAAAGGCTCACTCAGGAGGCTGTATGTTCCCTATCTTTAAAAACAGAAGCAGGGAAGTGGGGAGGGGCAAGATAGAGGTAGGAGATTAAGAGGTACAAACTACTATGTATAAAATAAATAAGATACAAAGATATATGGTACCATAGGGATATAACCAATATTTTGTAGTAACTGTAAGTGGAATCTAACCTTTAGAAGTTGTGGATCACTATGTTACACACCTGAAACTTATATAATATTGTACATCAACCACATCTCAATAAAAACATTAAAAAAAAATAAAAATAGAAACAATAGCCATCTCTGGGACAGTTCAAAGGTAGACCTGCCTGGAGGAGGAAGCTTAAACCAGGAGACCCCTCCATATACCTTCCGCTGCCCCTCTTCTCTCAGGCATAATGAAGGGCAGTTTTTGCCCCACAGGCAGTATTTCCTGTAACATTCAAAGAACTAATGGTGGTTGAGCTTTGGAAAACAAATGATGGCCGCTTGGATTTTTAAGAACTGGCAGTCAGAAGGGAAAAACATGTGATTGTCATGGCCGGCCTGTATATACAGTTGACTCTGCTTCCTGCTGTTTTATGACTTAAGAAGACAGTCATTATTGGGAAGGGCTCTTTGAGCAGGCAGAGGGGATTTGCTCCAAGAAGGCACCCATTTTTACAGAGTCTTTCCTGCCAAATGGAATTTGGAGTCTAGGGAAAAATTAACTTAAAAACCAAATTAAGTTAAATGAATACGTATACGTATGATATAAAGAGGTGTTAGAGGCCTAGGTGGATAGTCTCCATCTCACAAGGGGCTTCTACACAAACGTCAGATGCACACAGTCTCCCAGGGTGACTTAGGTAATGCTGACTTTCCTATTCACTGCCTGAAGCCAGGCAGGCCTAAAGGCATGCTGTTTTCTTACGATTACTTGAATGTCTTGATTCAAGGTGGGAACTACTTCTTTTGATGAAACTCTGCTCACAGCCAGTTTTGTTTTGTGTCTTTAAGAGAAAGTTAACAGAATTTTCCCCTGGCTTTACTGAGATATCATTGACTTATAACACTGTATAAGTTTAAGGTTTACAACATGATTATTTGATATATGCATATATTGCGAAATGATTACCTCAGTAAGATTAGTTAACTCATCCGTCACATCGTATGGTGACAGTTTGTTTGTGTGTGTTGGGAACTTGTAAGATCTACCCTCTTGGCAGTTTTGTTGTTAACACATTATTGACCGGGGGATTTTTGCAGAAACTAACTCCTGTGGCCATAATACACGTCTCTGGTCAAAAATGTGTTGACTAGAGTCCGTGCTGAACATTAGGTCCCCAGAACTTTTTCATCTTATAACTGGAAGTTTGTACCCTTTGACCCATTTCCCCACCCCCAACCCCTGGCAACCAGCAATCTACTCTCTGTTTCTGTGAGTTTGTTTTGTTTTAGATTCCACATATAAGTGAGATCATACCGTATTTGTCTTTCTCTGCTTGGCTTATTTCACTTAACATAATGCCCTCAAGGGCCATCCATGTTGTTGCAAATGGTAAATGGTAGGATTTCTTTTTTATGCCTGAATGATATTCCTGTGTGTGTGTGTGTGTGTGTGTGTGTGCATGTGCACGTGTGCGTGTGTCACATTTTCTTTATTCATTGTCTGTTGATAGATACTTCGGTTGTTACTGTGTCTTTACTAGTGTGACTTATTCTTTCTAATGCAATTTTAAGAGAGGTCATTGCACAGAAATTAGTATGCCCAGGCAGTGTCAAATCTATGGATTAATAACACCTCCCAAGTCCCTTCTATCATTATTACGGTGCTATGAATTCTGGGTGATTCTGGCAAAATGGTCCCAGCATCACCAAGTTGAGTAGTTTTGAAAAGTTCTTTTTCATGAAATCAATGACTTTGAGAGCTAAAAGGGACCTGAAAGAGGCTTCAGGGCTAATTGCCTCATCGATAAGGGAAAGCAGGCCCAGAGAAATGACATGATCTGCTTAGGTTGGGAGAAATAGTTGGTGATGAAGCCAGGATTAGAAATGAGGAGCTCCTGATGCCTCATCCTGTGCTCGTATCCATCCGTCTGTCTGTCCGTTCATGCATTCACCTCCCCGTCCATACCACACCGTCTACACCTCATCTATTCTAGGCTCTCTGACCCAACCTCGGTATCCTCATTTTCTAAACGAGGTGTCGGCTTATAGGACTTCTCACATTTGTCCCGGCTCTAAGATTGTCTAGAAAGGGCAATTGTTGGCACTTGGTTGCAGGCATGGAGGCTTCAACGTAAACCATTTGTGCAAAACCAGAAGGAAAGCTTATCTCATTCAACCTGCCAGTCAGGTCAATAAGAATAGGACAAAGAATTAAGAAACATGCCACAGCTAGTCTGCTGGCTGGGCCGATGGGATAACTTGATGTTTCCCAGCCATCTTCCTGGTTTTCAGTGGTGACATTGTAGCAAAAAGTGTCTTCCAAAGAGAATTGAAAATATTTTTCATTTCAGATGGTTACTTGCCCTTTGACAGTAGCTGACCTGCCTCTTAGTGAGTCAAGACTTGTTTTTCCCACATTCCACAGGATTATTTTTACATCTCAGATTAATAGAGAAAGTATTAATTGTTGAAAAATTGAATTTATTACGGAGAAAGAACACCATCAGAAGCTATCTCCTGCTGGGAGACTTCTTGCAAGCAGCAATGTGGGGTCTGTTTTCAGTTTGTAGGTAGAACATTTAGAAGCTTGTCAACATATTAAAAGATAGCCTTCTCTTTAAGCATGAAAGATAGAGTGAAAGGAGTTTTCAAGAAAAGGATATTTGAGATTGTTTTTATGTTTTTGTTTTTTTTTGTTTTTTTACTATTTCAGGGGATCTAATGGAAACCTCTAGCTCTCCACCCATGTGCCTGTAATTTAGCCCATGTGTCTGTAATATGACAATATTGAGATACCGAAGCATATTCTCTGTAGATATTTCACTAAATAATTTGAATGCGTGAATTAAGGATATAGAGGAATATATTTGGCTGATGAGGGGTTGAAGAGTAGTTGGGACCCCAATGACTGACCCAGTGATGGGGGGGCCGGGGAGTGGGGGAGATGTCCCAGTAGTGTGGATCGTGGATTGGACATTCTGATGGCACAAGCCATCATCTGGCTGGCCAGGT